TACATAAGATGAAATCTAGAAATCAGAATTTTTTTTGCCTCTTTTATAGTCAATTAATATATTCGTTTATTTTCGAATCATTATAAAAGATAACAACAGCCTTTTGTCGATCTTATTATGAAGATCATAATGGTACATGTTCTATGAATGTAATTAATCATTCTATGTGTTTTTATGATGCAGTTTCTTTAAAAATAGTAATAATCCATCCTAGTCTTGTTTCTTGGATCTTCAAGTATTTAGAACCAAAACGGGTATAAGAAGGTTGATAGTTGCGTGCATTACCAATTTCAACAGTCCAACTTTTTCCATGAGTTTCATCAAGCCAATTTTTAATATCTTTAGCTATGTTCCGGATTTCTGAGACTCCATGTGTATCAATTGCTGTACTGATCATGTTCAATATATTTACTCTCATTGCATCTGTGATTCCATTTCCTTGTTCTTCAATTTCCCATCTTGTCAGCTTGATCGATTTTGAATTAAATTTATCTAGAATAATAACTCGATTTCTATTACTTAATTGTATCCTTGAAAATAAACACAAAAAAAAGAGATCAACAGGCAAGATTATTCATATGATATCGAAAATAAAATTTTCGATGTCATATTAATTCACAAAGCACTTTCAAGTGACATAACTGTCCTTTAAAATAATGGGGAATTTCTGTTTTTTTTGTCATTGAGATGGTTAAAAGTCGTTTTAAACGTGATTCTGAGCTCGCTCGATATAGAATACATTTTAGTGGTGTGCTCCTTATAGAGTGAAACAGATCAATTGTATTTCAAGTTTTAATCTCATAAGGATTACTCTGAAAGTTTTTCCTAACAAATCTTGTGAATCCAAAATGCACAAGTTCATCACTTACTGAATGGTGCATCTAGGTTTTCCTATTTCATGCAGACAAGTATCGATTTTCTCAAGCCTGTTCTAATCCAGAGTGATATAGAAAGAAAGTTATTTATCATCAATCGATAGAAATTTCTGTACTCTGTACTTCCACAGTCTTTTCAAGGTTGCTGATGTTCTTGTTTAGGAGAAGAAGGCTTCGACCTAACAGCTGGTGCTGTTTGACAAATTGTTGTTTTTGAAAGTGAGATTTATCATATGAAATGTTGATTCTCATTCCATTGAATGCAGAATGTTCTCTTCGAACTGCTCATTAGGTCTGAAGATCGTCATATCATAGGAGACTACCCCAATTTTAGAGTATATTTTTACCGGCTGGTCTTTTTTCATTCTTTTTTATTTTTTATGTTGTACAACTCATTATAAAAATAGTGAATGTCAGTTTATATTCGAAAATTTTCTGCTCCTCTCATCTTAAATCTCGCTCCCTCGCAAATATCGATGATTTTTAATGCACAGCATGAAGTGCAAACAGCCAAAGTTTTCTATAAATCTTGTCTTTTACAATATCGCATTTTCGTTACCTATGACTATGATGCTCGACTGTTTCTTTTTGTCTCTATAGTATAAAATCTGTCAAATGACACTGCTTTTCTTCTAATTTCTACATGAAATAAGTAATTGGATTTGTTCGACAAAGAAAACAAGATAATTATTCGAAAAGCTTCACCTGATTTCAAACGTTGTCACGTATTTGATCCTGGCTATTATCATTTTCTCTAACCTTATTGGGATCGATGTAGATTTCTGCAGTAAAAACTGATACTTTCAATGTAAGCAGTGTAATTTGAGCTCGAGAGTCATCATTCAAGCTACATCTATGAGAAAATCGATTCAGAAATTTAAAAAAAAAAATGTTTTTTCTCCATTGAAAGTCCAAATATATATCTTTTTAGTTTTATCTAACCATCGAAGACTGATATTTTCTATATAATATACATATTCTGAAGTAACTAGTACTCTTTGTGCTAAAAGACTACATCAAAATCTAAAAAATCGATTTTTGTCGCTTCTAAATGTAGCGATTGCATCTAAATTCTCCATAGCTCCGGTATTCACTTAAAAATTAGTCTATTACTATGCTTGAGATAGAAATGCTAAAACGTTCACTTCAGTATTCATTTATATCTTCCCAAAAGACTCTCAATCTTGATACTAATCATCTTATCAGTTTTATTGTAAGTTCTTGTGAATTGAACCTAGAGGAGGCAGTTGAAGCACTCTTGTACTCATCATTTATTATGAGTAGCATATTAAAAATTGGTTTAGCCCATATTTTACACAGTATATTCTAGACGAAGAGAATTCAACTATCAGTTAAAAGAAAAGTTTTGAATTCTCGGTTCTGAAGACCTTTATGATTAGAGACAAGGAATCATTCATAGGAGTTTTCCAAGATTATCAGAGATGTCTTTGAACAGAAGTTGAGCCATTGAACTAGCTCAATTTTTAATGGCGGCCTAATTTTCTGGAGGATGACTTCAACAAAGGCACTCAATATCCATCGAGAAATTTTCAGATGTAGGTTGCTTGGTCGACGGTTTATATTACAACATCTAGATATAATCCATTATTGTAACTAAAAAACGACTAATTTGAAAACCTCTATTTTCCTTACCTGGAAAGCTTGGATTGCGTTTTTGATTCGCTGGCAGATGTCTATCGTTATTCGATACTATGTTCGATGTTGATTGCATTGTTTGATGTTGAGGTGGTTCATGCAACAAATCTCTTGATGTTGTTTCTTGCGGGATGGAAATGAGATTGTCATCAATTACTAATGGATTAATATTGAAATGAACCTGTTGAAGATTGTTGATATCTTGTTCAAAAGATCGAATAGATTCTGTCATCGAATTAATCTGTACTTGAGTTGCTTCTTGTTCTCGAATCAATTCATTCATATTACTGCGCATTCGATCAAGTTCTTTTCTTTGTTTATTTTGTCTCTCTTGAACAACTTGTCTAAATTGTTGACATTTTCTCTCATAGAATTGGTCCACTGTCTTATGAGCATCCTCGCGCCATCGATTGAGTTCGATGAGACCAGATGATTCTAGCAAAGTGCTGTTGTTGAATTGATCCGAGAGTGCATTGATTTGGTCAGCTAAATGCGGTAGTTGTGCATCAATTAAATCATCATGTTGTTTCAAATGATCAC